CGCGGCGGGGTGCGTCCGGGGGGCCGAACCCTGGCCCTGAGCCCCAGTGCATTATGTATGGCCGGGACGTGAACCGGCGCATTAAGTTCAATGCGGGGCGAGGCGAAGGCGCTTCGGTCCCCCGACGCCATGCGGGGCCGGAGGCGGTGGCGCGGGGCTGACGAGGGGGACGTCGATGTTAGTCCCGTCGCGCACGACGCGACGTCAATTTGACATCTTCGCCATGAATATGGCAGCAGCGGGAGCGTCCTCGAAGGAGTCGCGGCCACACACGTCCCGCCTCTGTTGTGGTGGCCGCGGCCGCGGGACGGGGCGCGGGGCGCTGCGCGCTGTGCCGACGCCGTCACGTGGCGAATCCGAGGCGCACAGCTATTTCACGCTGCTGCGGCAGGTTCAATCCCGAACCCGAGAGGGGTGGCGGCGGGGCGCGGCGTCCTGGCAATATTGTGAACACCGCCCACCCGCGGTAGTAGCGCACCGTGTCGTGCCGAGCATCGGGCTGAGCATTGTGCTGAGCGCCAGGCCGCACCGTGTCGTGCCGAGCATCGGGCTGAGCATCGCGCTGAGCGCCCAGCCGAGTGGCCACGGTGTGCTACGCTGTGCGCCATAGCGTGCAAGGCCGCCGCAGAGCGGTGGTGGGGGGCGGTGACCCGCTGGGGGTGACCAAGGGGGGTGTGACCCAGGTGACCGAGAGGCAAGCCGAGAGGGGCAGCAGGGCCAGGGCTGACGTATTGGGTGACTGGGCGTCACCACCCGGCTGCCCTCCTTTTATACTCCCCGCCCCGCCCGTCCCGCCCTGCTCCTCGCGCGGCACGAACTTCTCCCACCGCAGAGTCGCGCCCTCTCGCGCCACCCGATCCCTGCGCAATTACGGGAAACAAAACCCGAGATACGGTGTGAGCATTTCGTGTAAGCATCGCTATAGACCTGTTCAATGGCGCGTTCAGCGGGGCGGCGGGGAGTGCTAATGGCGCGTTTCGCGAGGGGATTTGGATTAGGGGGAAGGGGGCGACAGAGAGCTTGAGCAAGCACCCCGCCCGCAAGACACGCCCGGGAGCTTGCTCATGCTGTTCAAGTGCCACGACACGCCCCGGGCACGCCTCCTGCTCCCGGCAGCTATTAGTGAAGCCCTGTAAGTTGTAGAGACAAGTGGGTGGCGGGGCGGGGCGGGGCGGCAAGGTGCGGCGGGCGGGATGCTCGCCGGGCCTGCCGGCCGACTAGACCGGGTCGTGCACATGTGCGCTGAGCCGGTGCAGATAAGCCCTGCCACTCCCCCGGCAGCGCCCTGGCAGCGCCCTGGCAGCGCCCTGGCAGCGCCCTGGCAGCGCCCTGGCAGCACGCTGGCAGCGGGGCTGACGCCGTCACTTCCGCACGACTAATAGGAAGTAGATCCCCTCCCCCTGCCAGAAATCTCTCACCCCTCCACCTGGATAACGCCCATTGACCGGAAGTATAAGGTTAAAGGCTTGCCTCAAATCCACGTAATTCCCAAAGGTCGATCGCCTCGCCTCGCCCAGCGCCTACCGTTTGGTCTGTTTATTCATTACACGCATATTGGGCAGAGCTATACATTGGGTGTACTTAGGAGAGGAGAGTGTGAATTGGTGCATGGGCGCCTGTTGGCGTGTCTTCTCCAGTGAGAATGTCATGTAGAAACAATGTCGAAACGACAAAGTGGCGTGCAAATAATGTCGTCTGGCGGTCATTTCTCACTGGGTTATATGGCACGTCAGGGCTAAGACCACCGCCACCGCCGCCGCCACCATCACCACAACCACCACAACCACAACCACCTCACTTGGCAGAGGCAGGGTCGTGCGCGTAGAGCAGGATAAGGACTGTGGTGACGAGCACTGGCACGGGCACAATGCAAAGGGCCGCGTGGCGTTAGGCTGTCGTTAGTCTTGGCCATCGGAGGGAATGCCATATCGTTCCGAACTTTGAGATGATTCCGACAGAGCGCGCCACCTTTTTAGCCTCCTCCCTCCGCCCATCAAAACGGTAAACGGTCCAAAGGAGAAGAGCAGGAGGATCGGCTAGGGATTATTGAAGCGATATTTTGTTCTGAGTTGTGGCTGGTCATGAGCAGACCGAGCAGACACTCAGACCTAAAAAGTGCCGTTTTGTATGGTCCTCGCCGATTTGCCCGCTCTTCTTCTTTGTGCATGCTCTTCTCCTTTGAAAAGAAAATAGTCCCCTCTTTCGAGTCGAGACAGCTTTTTAACTACATTAAACTACTCCAAGGCCCGAATATCAATTATTAAATGAATGCACGCACTTTTTGGTTTTATTGTGGAGCATTGAAAAGATAATGTGACTACTTCAAACACTGCCAGGAAAACTTGCGACCCTTTCCTCCCTCCCACCCTCTCCCTCCCGCTCCCCTTCAGTGCACTGCACTGCTGTCATGTCCGCTGAGCATGTGTAACATCCCCGTCACATTTTCCATTGAATTCTTATGCGAAGTGCTCCAACGTCATTCGCCGCTTCTTTTGGATAATGATCTACAATGGACTCTTTCTTGGTTTTTGGAATATGGAACTGACATGTTTCTGCCAATGGCTAGGACTTTGCCTAAAACACATGAGCCGTTGAGGTTAGCCCATCATCCTCTAGTGCTACTCCTTCATCCTGCTCTGTTAATTCACAAGTAAGTTTATCGTCATTGGCTGACTCTGATAGAGCAGGAAATGTTTCAAAAATGATAACCTTTAATCTCTCCAAGCATTGATGAACCGTTGGGGTCAGTCGGCTGTGCATCTCAGTCCAATTCATTCTGGGCAAAAGATGTATGGATTGCGAGAAACCATAAAGAACAGGTATGATGCTTGCTATGTAAAATACAATTATTAACCACTGCATCTATTGCAGAAAGGGTGTCTGGAATGCTGGGTACACCATACTGCAGTCTGTTCGAGATAGGCTGGAACGCAATTATTTCTTTCTTGGGTGCGATTACATTTTATTGTTTTGCAGCCATTACGGTATCAAATAACTGTCCAATCACCTGGGCTATGCTGGTTCTAAAATATATGCATGTCATTTTACTATGTGTCTTGTCGGTGTCATGGCATTTTGGGGGGCGTATGTAAGGCGTACTCTCCTGATACACTCCATACCATACCACGAGGATGACCCTGGCATGCGTTCACACTATAAGGCGGGCGAGGTTGTTGGCGCGAGGCAGTTCTGGTCCCTTAGCCTTTAGATAGCATGTCTGGACGGGTAGTCCCCGGCGTCCGTTGGAAAGAAGTTCCTCGTGCAGGGTGCTGCCCGTCCCGGGCCTGCGCTGGGTGCCTCTTCCAAGTGTAATGTCGCGACGCCCTCCTCCCGGCCTGGCGCGCGTACCCCGAGGCATGCCTGGAGTGCGCGGTGCGGGGGCGGTGCGGGGGCGGTGCACGGGGTCGCCTGCGGGGCACCCGACTTAGATCTGTCGAGGCCGTTACTCCCGCCGCCCCCTCCCCTTCACGCCATAGGTCGCCGGCGCGTAAGCCTCCGCGGCGAGCAGCACCCTCCCGCCCTCCTCCCCGCGCCCCCTCGCCGGCATCCTTCCCTTTATTATCCTCTTGAACGGCGCGATGCATCGCTGGAACTGGTGCGGGGGGGCTCCCCACCCCCGCCGCCCCCGACAGGGTGGCTCCACCACGGCCGGCTTCGCGGCGTCGGGGATGCTTCCAGATTCTGCGTCGGCTCCACCGGCTCCAGTGGCAGCATCAACATCGGGGTTGGCTTCAGGGCTGGTATACCAGGGCCGGCTTCGGTGTTCCCGTTCGGGCTTTGCTGTGGCGGCTTATCCCTCCCCGACCCCGCGAGACCGCAGCCTAGCCCACCCCACCCCACCCCACCCCGGGCCGCGCCGCCACCACAAAGTCGCTGCCCTTCCGATGTCGTCATCTGGAAACGAAAGAATAAGAGTTATGCGGCTGGCTAAGAGCACGGCAAACAGGATCGGAATCCGATTGTATTTGCTCCTATTGTATCGTGGCAGGTCGAGCGGGCCGCGCGGGCCGCCGGGTCGCGCGTGGCGTCGCCGGGCTGCTCTGCGCAGCGCGCTCAGCGGGCAGGGCCGACTGATCTGGGCGGGCAGCAGCGGCCGCGTGAGCTCCTGTATCTGGGGGGCCTTGTGCGCGCGTAGGCTCGCGAGGCTCTGGCGGGGGCTGCACTGCCGGGCCAGGGCCGGGCGCAGAGCAAAGCCCTCATCCTCGGAGTCTGGTCCAGCCCACCGTGAGAGGAACACTGATGATGGCGATGGCGGAGTGGCGCCGCTTGTGCACAGCGGCCACGTCCAGGTGGGCTTGAGCCGGGCGCGGGGCGCTGCTGCACACTTCGTATCGTTATTCGATAGCGACCGCAGTTCGAGGCCCGAGCTCGGCCGAACGGAACGGGTCGTACGGAAGGAGAAGGGGGCCGAGGGGCCTGGCTGTGGGTCAAACAGTCGCCCGCCCAGCTGCTCATTGGCCCGTGCATTATTCACCGCCGACTCTCAATGACGACGCTGACCGCCCGCCCCGCCCCTGGGGGCTCCTCCTGGACGGTCATTAGAGAGCTAGTAGGTTACGGTTAGTCTCCAATGCGCCTTCTTTCTATGCCAGCTATCTTGTACGGCTGATGGCTAATTGGACTTGTAGTTTCAATGATTGAGATGGAATCTACCTTAATTAATCGACCGCCACTTCTTATAATTTCGAGAGGCTGTTATGAAAAACTAGGACCTTAAGAACCAAAAATGTGTGATTTGATTGCGATTGGAAAGTCTGTATGCTTTCCTTTTTGTTTTGCTATGAGTTTCAGTTTTGCAGTCGCGGGTTGGCTTACAAGCTTTCGCCCTTACCCGTAATGGGCTATTGCCCCTGAGGCCCTAGCGACTTATACAGTCCCGCAACACCGGAGCGCATAAACCACCCGGTACACTGATTGGAGGCGGTAACTAACCACCCGGCCCGCGGGTGCAGGCGGGTCCGGGCGCCGCGGGCCGCACGGTGTTTAACGCAAATCGATCCCTAATGACAGTTCGCCTCCATCTGCCCGGCGGGCTGCCCGCTGCGGTGCCGGCCTGGCTGGCCGCGCTGGCCCCGTTGGCCTAAAGGCCGGCCTGCTCTGCTGCTGTCAGGGCCGCGTTGTTGACTCACACTCGGCGATGGCCGGATGGCCGGCAGACGAGTTGTGGCCGAGAGGTGTTCTTGCTCCTCAAGGCCAGTCCCCCCGTTAGCTTAGTTAGTTTTGCGCCGTGCGGGCTGCGCCTGGCCTCCACGTACGGGGCTGCAGCTTGACCAACCCCCAGCCGCGGGCCGCGCGCCCGCCACCTGCCTGAAGGGTAACAAAGGTGGCTAACCGTCCGCCTGCCCATTCTCCACCTGCCTAAGGTAATTCAGGTAGCCATCCGCCCACTTGCGTCTCACCTGAGGGGTAGCTAAGGTAGCTAACCGCTCGCGCCCCCCGGTCGTGTCTGACGGCACTGCACTACCATTATTAATGTGCGAGTGAAAATTTGTGGTCTTGCGGTGGGCGGCTAACCCGGCTCACTCCCGGTCTCCGACATCCATTATTGGCCTTTGCATAATCCGGCGGTGAGGTAGGAGGGGGGG